GGGCTTTGGAGACTCTTACCAGTACCTTTTCTTCCCCTCCCCCACCAGACATGAGGGCTAGCGCTCAGGCCACAGCTGACCTGTGAAGTTCCAACCTCAGTCATGCTCCAGCCAATTGAACAAGGTTTCACAAATACCCAGCTCTGACAGCTTGCGGTATTCATAAACACTAAGGAACATCTTTGCTGGTTATGCCCGATTTATGTATAGGACTCAGGGATATGCTGTCACACGGACTATTGCATCTGGGCCTTTTCGGCAGGAATCAAAGGGCACAATTCAGTATGATACATGTCTTTTCCACTGGTGTGGAAAATATCCCATGGCCCAAGTTTCACAGGACAATGAGTGGAAAGCATGGAGCGCTGGCTTCTAGGGCTCTTCTGCACAGCTCAGTGGGTGCTGAGGTTCCAGTTCATTTGTTTAAAAGCTTTGACTCCCCAAGAAGGCAACTTTTTGCAGCTCAGGGACTCTGGCATAATACAAATTTGTACCCGGAAGTCAGAAATATGTTCTTTGACCAGACTCATTCCTGTTTACTCTAATTTGTGACACTTACTCCCAGTACTACACCCACCTCTTCTTGTAAGATCTCATAACAAGCCTTCACGACTCACGCGCAGAAGAAAATACCATCCAATTTGGTTCTGTACCACCATTTGACTAAACTGTGTGGGATTTCCTGCCTTCTCCTCTTCCTCCTCCAATTCCTTTCCTCCCTCCAAATCTCTTATTATTCTTCAATATTGCACAAATCGGCCTTCACTTTCACCTCTACAGCTTTGAAGCACAGTTATTGTTGTATTTGGGAAGACAGAAGACTTGGAAATAAGCTTTATTTCCTCTATAACCAATGCAAAAACCCACTGAGATTCCTTAAGCATGATCCCTTTATTATGTAACAGACATTGAGTTAGGCAAAATCATAGCTGATGTGATCAGGTCAAAAATAACATATAAAATAATGTAATGGGCTAGTTGCAACTATTGACTTCAACTACATAAGGCTATCGAGTCTAGATGATACCATTCAAGATGTAGATGCTTACGGAACGAGAAACTAAGACTTTGAGAAACAAAAGCTATTACAAAACACATCATTCACTTTTTTGTTTGCCCCTTCCCCCCTCATTCTATTATACAATTTGTATACTCACTCGTTTCCGATGAGGACTAATTTCTAGCTTCATCACCGCACATTTGTTTAAAGTATTTAGACGCCTATAGAGCAAAGAAATAACGTTAGCAAAGATAGGCAACCACTCTCTACTAAGTGGATAAACACCTATTTTTAAACAATTCATATATCTAAGGAGTTTCTTGGAACTCAGTAAAATCTAACACCTAGAGGAGTATTAGAAACTTCTTTAAAAAGTGAGTGATTTAAAAATACCTTGGCCAGGCGTGGTGGCTCAGCCTTGGGAGGCTGAGGTGCGTGGATCACGAGGTCAGGAGATTGAGACCATCCTGGCTAACATGGTGAAACCCTGTCTCTACTAAAAATACAAAAAAAAAAAACAAGCTGGGCGTGGTGGTGGGCACCTGTAGTCCCAGCTACTCGGGAGGCTGAGGCAGGAGAATGGCGTGAACCCAGGAGGTGGAGCTTTCAGTGAGCAGAGATCGCGCCCCTGCACTCCAGCCTGGGCGACAGAGCGAGACTCCATCTCAAAATAAATAAATAAATAAAAATAAAAATACTTTTATGTTTCTTAAGTTTTTCACTGTAATTTTTATATTTTAGTGTGAAATGGCACACAGCTATGATACTGTCAAGTCTGATTCTTTAACTCTCAATGAGTTGCTCTTACTGAGAAAAATCATTCTTCCAGTAACTCTTAGGTTGAGCCATTATGGACTGCCACATGTGATGCCAAGAAAGAAAAGTTTCTGACTGGGCACGGTGGCTCACACCTGTAATCCCAGAACTTTGGGAGGCCGAGGCAGGCAGATCACCTGAAGTCAGGAGTTTGAGACCAGCCTGTCCAACATGGTGAAACTCCATCTCTACTAAAAATACAAAAATTAGCTGGGCATGGTGGTGGGTGCCTCTGATGCCAGCTATTCGGGAGGCCGTGGCAGGGAGAATGGCTTGAACCTGGGAGGCGGAGGCTGTAGTGAGCAGAGATTGTGCCACTGCACTCCAGCCTGGGCAATAGAGCCAGACTCCATTTCAAAAACAAAACAAAAAGAAAAAAAAAGAAAAGTTTATGAGGTCTCCTTTCACAGAAATAGAAACAGCGAAACAGCAACAAAGAACCAAGTAGAGTTTTTGGCAAAATGAACAGTGTCTTGTATTTCAAATTTAAACTCAAATTTAAACAATTAGTTTTAGTTATCTCTGATGAATCATAATCTTGGACAGCTGTTCAAAATTTTAGAGTCCTTGCACAGAATGGAAATTGGAACCCTCTTTAATATCCAATATTTTGAACAGCTTCCTGTTATAGGACAATATAATGTGTGCCATACTCATGGCAATAGGACAAATGATCATTTAAAGAATCTGCATACTGTAACTTCAAGGATCCAAATCTTACTGAGTTCAAAATTAAGCACTCAGGTCACATTCTTCTTTGCAACAGCCATCCTATTGTAATTACGATATCAATACTTTGACCTCTGCCAAACAGCAGTATCAATTTAAAATTAGGGAAATTTAGTTCCATTGAAAATAAAACACAGAAAAAATCCAAAGCCTCATGGAGAAATAATGCAATAGTTGAAAAAAGAAACTCTTTAAATATGCTGAACTAAATGGTATGTACAAATATGAATGACAACCCTTCAGGCCCCAATTTTCTTGCCATCTCCCAGATGGTCATCACTCATCCTTCCTGAAATGAACCTGTAATGTGTCTGTTTGCTATCTGCTATCACCAGTTTTCCAGTTTTTCCTACAAATTGCGATCCTTACATTTTCATAAGATAAGATCATTTAATTCACACAAATTCCTGGGAAACGTGAGACCACCTCAGGGCTTTATCTTCCTGATCCTGTTCTTGCAGTTTGCCTAACAATGTTGATGCAACAGAACAGAAAGTATTTTTCCCTGCCTGATAAGCCCAATTTTGACTTCATAGCTTATGTGGTAGCCTGTTTATAGAATAAACAAAGATAGCACAGAGTGCCTATGTTCAGAAGAATTCTGTGTGGATGGGGAGGAAAAGAAAACAAATAACTAAGAAAAAGTCTGCATACTTTAAAATGAGTGGATATAAGGTCCCTCTATTGGGGATATCAATTACTTAAATGACTTACACCCACAGTGTTTTAATTCTCAAATGTTTTCAAGATTTAAAGAATCCGGAATGGTTATAGTTAGTCTTAGGTCTGGGTTCCATTAATCAAACCTGTAATCAAATAGTCACTTGACTTCATTTGGGCTTTAATGGTTGAATGGTGTTTATAACCGAATTTACTAGTCACAGAGGCCTATGGGGCTGGGGAGAGGTTTAGCTTCACAAACTCTAGATTTTAGTCGAATGAAAAAGACCCAGGAGGCCAGTTCTCTAAAGGTCAACATTATCTTTTTATGTTGGTAGCACCAATCTAATGGCATTACAGACCTAAAGCCCAGAGTTATACCCTAGGGTTTCTGTGATTTTCATTTGTCCCGGAGGACCCCTAAAGAACGTACTGTGCTGGGACCTTATTTGCTTACAGGGACAGTACTGATATCAAATCATAGTTCCAGCTACACAAATGAGGCCTACTACGGGCCAGGCACTATGCTAGGCACTTCTTATGTATTACTTCCTCTTCCCAACAAACCTATGGTACAGATATTATGATTAACCTTCACTTTACAAATGAGGAAATGGGGCTTGGGGAGGTCACAGATCTTGTCTAAGTCCACACGATTAAAACATGGTGACTCTCAAACCCAGTAAC